GCTTCAGATAAAGTTGACCTCAGAGAGGAACTTTTTTCCCCAAAGACTGCTATGTTTATGTTGAAAGATACATTCCTATATTTATTACAGCTACATATTAACTTACTGAATATGGTATGAATGGAGCCCCCGATGGCACAATGGGTTAAATCCTTGTGCGGGCAGGACTGAAGACTGACAGGTCGGAGGTTCAAATCTGGGAGAGTGTGAATGAGCTCCTTCTGATAGCTCCAGCTCCCAATGCGGGAACATGAGAGAAGCCTGCTACAAGGATTGCAAAACATCAAAAACATCCGGGCATTCCCTGGACAACATCCGTGCAGACGGCCAATTCTCTCACACCAGAAGCGACTTGCAGTTTCTCAAGTTCTCAAGTTTCTCCTGACACGAAAAAAAAAAACCTCACTAAAAACTGTATGCATAACATTTTTGTATTTATTATATTTTATACTTTCTTCCTGGTTTCAAATGAAGATTCTGAAGCTGAATGTATTCTTTCATTTTTTAAGCATACCTGTCGATAGATTAAGGACAAAGAAAAGGAGATCAACCATTTGAATTATGCCAAAGATAGATTTTTCTTTCCGTCTCAGGGAACATGAAGATGATCAATAATAATACCAGGATAGTACAGCAGAGTATTCCAGAACAGATCAAGTTAAATTTACATTTACCTAAGAATATATATATAATATGCCCTCTAGTTTAATAGACTTGTTTAATTTGTCTAATTGACATTTGCAAATGTATCTAGCTGCATTGTTTTAAAATTAAACTAGTTACATTTAGCCCTGGTACTAGAAATTCCACCTGAACATTAGGAAGAACTTCCTAACTGTGAGAGCTGTTCAGCAATGGAACTCTCTGCCCCAGAGTGTGGTGGAGGCTCTTTCTTTAGAGGCTTTTAAACAGATGCTGGATGGCCATCTGTCGGGGGTGCTTTGAATGTGATGTACTGCTTCTTGGCAGGGAGTTAGACTGAATGGCCCACAAGGTCTCTTCCAACTATGATTCTATGAAAAGGACAGATATAAATGAATTAAGAAAATAATAATAACAATAACACTTGAGAATAGTATTTTGAAGCATGACAGATTGTCCCATGCATCCCTATATTTCATCTCCATTTACCTAAAGGTGAACGGAGATTAAATGTAGTTTAACCCCGGTGGCGCAATGGGTTAAACCCTTGTGCCAGAAGGACTGCTGACCAAAAGGTCAGCCCTTCGAATCCGGGGAGCAGGGTGAGCTTCCATCTGTCAGCTCCAGCTTCTCATACAGGGACACAAGAGAAGCCTCTTCCAAGATGGTAAAACATCCAGGCATCCCCTGGGCAACATCCTTGCAGACGGCCAATTCTTTCACACCAGAAGTAACTTGCAGTTCCTCAAGTCACTCCTGACACAAAAAAACCTAAAGGAAGCCAGTTACTATTAATACTAAAACACAGAAATGGAAGTTCTTTTCCTTTCAGTTTAGCATTATCCTTTCCATTTGGTATTCTGTTGTAATCAGCTCTTTATGGTACAAGCTGCGTGTGTGAGTGTGCCTTCAAATTGCCTGACAACTTATGACAACCACATGGATTTTATAGAGTTGACTAGGTTATAAACTCCATTTTGGAAATCCTTCAGCTTGAAAAATGCATTCCTAACTTCCATCCTTTCATTTTGATCACAGAGTAGAAAATTATAGGGTAATATTTATATATCCATTGGAAGGCAAATAGTTTTCATTTCCATCTAAGTTTTCTTTCATTAGCGATCATTGAATACTGTATTTCAATCTGTTTTTTTATTGTAGTGCCACTCAGGAAAGGGAATTAATTTTATATTCAAAAAGGAACTGCATAAAATGTGTGTTTATGGCAGCATGGAGGATGGTTACAAATACTATTTTAAATTTAAATTTGGCCTACAGTGCTCCTTTAGACGGATAACACATCCCTTTCTTTCTGCATTTGTGGTTATGGTGCAGTAATGCACGGTGACATATAATCAGAGCTGCTTCACTTTCTTTTCTAAATAAAAAAGCACTCTGAAAAAGACATGTGCACAATAGCATGTGGTGAATGCTTTATATATACAGTACTCAGTGTGTAAGAACTAATACTGTATATGGCCTACCATTTGGCATTGGCACACATTTTTCGTTGCTCCTGGGTAGTGCATGGAAACCCAAAGGAACACTGCAAAGGACTCTGAGGCATCACTTTGGAACAAAGGGTTTGAAAGGGTTTGATTGTGGTGTGAGGTCAGCTCAGCAGCCTTCTCAAACCACAGAGGGTGCCTCTGACTGGGTGGATTCTAGCAATCAAAGTACATTAAAAACTGTGCTATCTTTCTGTGGTTAGCAGAGGAAGCCATGGGAAAATGTTGGGGTTACGAATATGTTGTTGTTGTTGTTGTTGTTGTAATTATTCCTTGCCCACATCTCCTCATGGCTCAAGGTGGGTTACAACATTGTAAAACACCCATTCACCTTAAAACATTCTTTAAAATAAACATATTAAAACATGTTTTCACAAGAAAGCTTGTAGTAAGCACTCCTGGCTGTTGCATCTACCTGGGCTGACATTTGGACAGACAGATCCAGGTACACTCCCAAACTGCAAACACAATCTTTCAGGAGAAGTGTAACCCCATCCAAAACTGGCTGACATGCCTCCATCCCCAGATTAGGATCCTTGATAGTACCTCTATTTTGTCTAGGTTCAGTTTCAATTTGTTTTTTCCTCATTTAGCCCATTACCTCCTTCAGGCATTCATTCAGAGGAGACACACTATCCTTAGCTAAAGATGCTTTTGATGGCATGGAGAAATATATTTAGGTGTCATCGGTATATTGTAAACACCCTGCCCCATACCTACGGATGATGTCTCCCAGCGGGATAGAATGGCCCTTTTGTGGAATGCCTCGTAACAGCTCCTTTTTGGAGGAGCAGCTATCCCTAAGCACCAACATCTGGAACCTGCCTGAGAGATACAACTGGAACCACTGCAACACAATGCCCCCAATTCCCAGTCCCTCCAGGCAATCCATGGTTGATGGTATAGAAGGCTGCTGAGTGGTCTTGAAGCATCAACAGGGAGACAAACCCCTTGTCTGTATTGAGCTGGAGATCATCCACTAAGGTGATAATAGCTCTGTATCCTGTCTGAAGCCGGTTTGAAATGGGTCAAGGAAGTGTGTGTCATCCAAGGGCCCTTCCACACAGCCATATAATCCAGAATATTGATACAGATAATCCACAATCTCTGCTTTGAACTGGGTTATCTGAGTCCACACAGCCATATAATCCAGTTCAAAGCCGATAATGTGGGGTTTTATATAGCTGTGTGGACTAGACTGCCTGGCGTTGGAGAGCAAGTGCCTTCTCAATCACCTTGCCCAAAAAGGGAGGTTAGACACTGGTCTGTAATTATTATTTATTCTCCTTTGAAAACCTAATCAAGAAACAGAATACTTTTACCACTCCCACCCTGCAAAAAAAAAAGAGCTTTGTCTGGAAGAACTTGTATTCTGGGGGAAGTTGAATGAATAGAATAGGAGTAGCCAAAAGTTTGATCCTGTTTGAAAGGGAAGACTACTCAACTGTTAGCACGTTCCTTGATTAACTTGCAATCCAGGGTCAATGTGACCATCATCATTGCCACAAAATACCTATAGAAAATAACCACAAAAGTTGACTCAAGTGAGAAGTCAAACCAGATATCACTAGAGAAGTTTCTGGGGAGACTGTGAGTGCTGTGTTTCAACTACATAGTGGCATTTCATTGGGCCAAGAACAAAACTTTTCTGACAATTTTGCGTTGATTTTATTGCGTTCATTTCCCTTTCTACTGAAAGCCACCTTAAGGAAATCCATGAAGTATATGTAAATAGAATCCCTGAAGTTTTGTGCCAGATACAGAGTAGGCATGCTCCAACAATTATAATTCTTTAAATCCTGCACTTCAGAAAGTTAATTCTTCTAAAAATAGACATGTTACACAACTTGCATGTTATAGCGTGCCGAACATATAACTCAAATCCACAGCTACAGGAGTCTTACTGGCAAGAAATAAAAGAATGCCAATAAAAGAAGATATGTAGAAAGTACCAGAATATAAAGTTGTATTTAGATTTTTTTTAAAAAACACAATTTTACTTTGAGAACATCTCACAATAACAGATCAAAAATAAGAAGTCTTACTACTGCAGAACAAATTATATTTAAGATCCATGTAACTACAGAATCCCTATCCATAGTTTTGTTTACCTATGGGGTAGGGGAGTGGTCTTTCTAGCAATTAGCTACATCCTCCAGACAATTCTATGGTATACATGTATGGTATGCTTTCCTATGGATACAGGGTTCTTACTGTACTGAATGTTCCTTGTTTGCTCATTTCATACCATTATCATTTAATGTCTTGGATTTAGTAGCTAGGATGTGGCAGTTACTTCCTACTAAAGATTTTAGTGCCCCATAAGTTTCTTTTCAATTAAAGCAATATTGAAATAGGAGATGACCTACATAGCACTGAAAAAGGAGAAAAGCCAACCATGTTATTTTATGAAGGGCTTTGAAGAACTCATGCAAGACAATCAAAATGGGGCATTTTTATGTTCAATAGGTATTTTGAAACAAACAAGATAACTCCCATGCTGTTCACACATATGGAGATAATAGTTCCCTTTCAGTTACTTTCAAGAGCTCAGGTAACCCAAGTGTCACTTTATTTGTATTAGTATTTTTTAAATCTATATAAATATTTGAACATTTAAAAAGCTTTCTTTTATGTTTATGCCATGGTGTAATGTACATTGAAGGGCTGGTGTTCAGAAAAGGTTTATTCACCTATTAGATATGCAAAACTAGTTGTGTTCTTTGAATTCTTGTCATATCTCAATGTAGACTCTATAGTAAGGAAATATGATTCGTTAGTATTGTGAAAAGATTGTGTACCTTAACAGGATTCTACCAACTTTACATATTTCTGTTGGTTGTATTTCAGAACCATGACCGCTCATGCATAGCGTGCAGGATCATCTATCGGTCAGATGAACACCACCCTCCAATTTTACCTCCAAAGGGCGATTTGACTATTGGATTACATGGTGAATGGGTGAGCCAACGCTGTGAAGTGCGCCCTGAAGTGCTCTTCCTTACCAGGCACTTCATCTTCCATGACAACAACAACACTTGGGAAGGTCACTATTATCACTACTCTGACCCAATCTGCAGGCACCCCACTTTTACTATCTATGCCAAAGGCCGTTACAGCAGAGGAGTTCATTCATCGCGAGTTATGGGTGGAACAGAATTTGTTTTTAAAGGTAATTTCTTTATGCTGTAGACATATTTCAATAGGGTAAACATTACTTCTTTGCTTTTATACAGAACTCTAGAAATGGTTCAGCTATATTTTTATGCACATGGCAACTGTAAAATAAAATATTGTTGTGGCTGTAGGGCAAGGCAGCAGAGAGTTTGTTTATAAAAGCGGGGTGGGGGTGGAAGAACACCAAATGCTTGTGGAGCTGAAGAACAAAGAGCCTTTGCTTCTGATTTCCTATCAGATGACACCATGATGAAATTTCAAATGTTGGCTTATCTTCACTTACATAAAGGCATTCCTGCCTTCATGATCAGTTGACTGGCAGCATAGCTCCAAGCACAGATCGTGAAAGTATGTTTATCATTGTGAAATAGAATAAAATCTTACAAAACACATTCCTAAAAAGAATTAAAGGACTTCCTCTGGGAGTTGTATGGGGTTCCACTCTGAGAGAAAAGTGGCACACAAAATGAAACAAATAAGCAAAGAAATATTGCTAATGACATGCTAGGGAGTCTCACTAGGGGGTCTGTTAAACATTAAGACATGCCACCTAAATCTAAAATAGAGCCAGCCCTTAGTTCAGTGTTTCTCAACCTGTGGGTCCCCAGGTGTTTTGGCCTACAACTCCCAGAAATGACAGCCAGTTTACCAACTGTTAGGATTTCTGGGAGTTGGAGGCCAAAATATCTGGGAACCCACAGGTTGAGAACCTTCCTTAGTTTGTACTTTCTGTGGAGCCCTGTCCAGTTCAGATGAGAGTCAACGCTAAAATGATGTAAACAACTTTTACACTGAATCTAGTCAGTCTTCTAAACATCAGAACTTGGTTGATATAAATCGGAACTGTTTTATCCAAGTCCTGGAATTTATAGATTACCTGTTGTTCAGGAAGTTGTGCACATGGAGCCCCAAAAGCAACAATAATATACAATGGCAATGGAATTGACATTTTCTGGGGGGTTTCGGTTTCCATTTGGAACTGGTTATTTCATTAGCTTTGCAGGCAAGTATGTGTGAAAAACACAGCTTTATATCCTGGATATAGGACAATTTTTAAATTAAACTTGAGTGCATTTTTATAGCATCGTCTCTATTTTAATATTGCCACAAAAACCAACTTGGTTTTATTTGCAGTCTTGCCTGAGACTGGGAAGCTGAAAAAGAAACATTTTAGTAATCCATTTCTTTTGTGCATTAATGGACTATTCTTTCCTGTATCTTCTTGAAAACTAATTGTATTAAACCTGAATAACTGTCTTTTTGGTGAGAACATTCACAGCACAATTGACATTCTTTCAAAATATGTGGTAGGACTAAGTGCCACGGATCCAAGAATAGTGAATCAGTTAAGTTGAATTTTCCCAGAGTATTGGTCCCAAGACGTTTACACTCAATAAAATTTCTTATACATATATAACTTTAAAAAATTGATGACAGTTAGATGCAAGTTTGTTTCTTAAAGAATTGAAAGGTTTCAAAAAGGAAAATGAAATATTGTTAACTGGCAATTTACCTTAGAATCATAGAGTTGGAAGAGAGCTCGTGGGCCATCCAGTCCAATCCCCTGCCAAATAGTAGGAAAATAGCATTCAAAGCACCCCTGACAGATAGCCATCCACCCTCTGTTTCAAAACCTCCAAAGAAGGAGCCTCCACCACATCCCAGGGCAGAGAGTTCCATTTCTGAACAGCTCTCACTCTTAGGAAGTTCTTCCTCATGTTCAGGTGGAATCTCCTTTCCTGTAGTTTGAAACCATTGTTCTGTGTCCTAGTGTCCAGGGCAGCAGAAAACAATCTTGCTCCCTTCACCATATGACTTCCCCTTTGTATTTCTTTTTTTTTCTGCCTAAGTGGAGTATGGTAGAGTCTTGCTTATCCAGTCTTCACTCATCCAATGTTCTGTATTATCCAACGCAGTCTGCCCCCCGCCCAGATTCACAGCTGTTTCAATACATTGTGATATTTATACAGTAAATACAGTAATTACTACATAACATTACTGTGTATTGAACTGCTTTTTCTGTCTATTTGTTGTAAAACATGATGTTTTGGTGTTTAAGTTGTAAAATCATAATGTAATTTGACATTTAGTAGGCTTTTCCTTAATCCCTCCTTCTTATATAACATTTTCGCTTATCCAACTTTCTGCCGGCCCATTTATGTTGGATAAGGAGACTACTGTATCTTGCATTTGTCCCTGTTGAACTTTGTTATTTTTGCCCCATCTCTCTAATCTAGTAATTCTCAACCTGTAGGTCCCCAGATGTTTTGACCTTCAACTCCCAGAAATCCTAACAGCTGGTAAACCAGCTGGGATTTCTGGGAGTTGTAGGCCAAAACACCTGGGGAACATAGGTTGAGAACCACTGCTCTAAACTGTTAAGATCATTTTGAATTCAGCTCCTACCTTCTGAAGGATTGGCTATCCCTCCCAATTTGGTGTTGTCTGCAAACTTGATGATCATACCTTCTAACTCTTCATCTAAGTCATTAATAAAGATGGGCCCAGGACAGAACCCTGCGGCACTCCACTCATCACTTCTTTCCAGGATGAAGAGGAAGCATTGGTGACCACCCTCTGGGCTCGTTAACCTAACCATTTACAGATCCAGCTAACCATAGTTTTGCCTAATCCACATTTGATTAGTTTGTTTCCCAGAAGGTCATGGGGGACCTTGTCGAAGGCCTTACTGAAATTCAGAGGCAAAATCCTTACCGATGCAAAAGCCAAACATCTAGACCCAAATGCCTCATTCTAGATTTCTACACATTCATCTCTAATTGCACGATAACTAGTGCTGCATTGCTGGTTTCTTCATAATATACAAGTGCCAGAGTTCTATGTGTAGAGCAATAATCATAACTTATCAGTTTAGATCTCCTTCTCTATCAGTTCAGTTGCTGATTTTCTGATAGCTTCAATCACATAGCTCCAGTGGTTATGCCTGCTCAATGAGAGCTAAATAGCTTATTACCTTAATCACATTTTTATAGAGCTTGCTTAATGCTATCACTTTCTTTCTGAAGAAATAGCAGTTGTGGATATCTTTGATTTGGCACTTTGTTCGAAAGCCATATGTTTGATCTGGCCCAGTTTCTTTCTGAAAAGTTCTGCCCCGATGGCTATCTTTGCCACCTCCTTAAAGTGCTGCTTCCATTAAATGCTGTCATTTGGGGCAAACAGTAGAGTGGATATTCAGGGCACTGGTGCTTGTCCCTAAATTAAAGCAGATTGCAGTGTGACCTCACCTTTGATGCCACTTCCTAAACTGTATGCATGAGAAATGAGGCCCATCCCTCCATTCTACTGATTGCTTACAGATGAGGGATTTTCAATTTTGCACAGAACTCTCCGCCTCATAAAAGCCAACCCATTCATGTGTTTGATTCAAAGTCTGCTGAAATGCATGCCAGAAAACCACATGTAGCGGAGAGCAATGTGTGCACCTCTGATGTTCTTAACAAAACGCAAAAATTATAAGTTCACAAAACCTAATGTATTAAAAACCGGGAAAGGGGGGGGGGGGAATGAGGATGTTCTTGGCTTTTTGTGGTCAGACAATAAGTGTTCAATGGACTAATCAGGGCTTTTCTATTTTTGACTGCACCTTTAATAATCCTCCAGCCAGCATGATCAATGACTGTGAGATTTGGAGAGTTGTAGTCCCAAAATGTAAAGTTGGTGTTGAACAGATGCCCATATTTGACACACAATAATTACACTTGAAATAATTTCTAGCCTTTCTTTCACATTGTAGCATAATTGCAGAAAACAAAGTCATTCGGTAATATATTTCTGGACTGCTGCTCTGGGATAGGACATTGAAGCATCATTTAACATCTGGTCATTCCTGCACGGGTGAACTCACAAAGTGGTGCTGGGAGACAATGGGTTCCCTCAAATTTCTGACTTGTCCTCCACATGAAATACCTGGGAGAGGTGGCCTGGATTTTGGGGAGCCAATATCTTGAAAAGACACAGCTCTGTTCATTTTCATTTTAAACCCATGTCTGAGATAAGTAATAGACTATGAAAGAATGAAAATTCGATAAAGTGATGTTTCTAGTCTGTAAAAAAGTAAATCAGCGAATAAAGACTCAGAGAATGCTGGATAGATTATACAGTCTGTTACAAATATTTAGGTTTGCAGTTTCAGCATATGATAGGCTTCAGGCTTCAATTTACAGGCCTAGATTTCAGCAGTGGCCAGAAATGTGTTTGCCAAAGTAGTGTGGAAATTGCACTTACTCCTTAAAATCTCTGATCTTGCCATGGTGAGTTTTGTTGTTATGTACCTCCTCATTTACTCTGCTTTATAATGACCTAGAGTTTTCTTGAAAAGGTTTAGGTTGCGGATATCAAGGTAGCTATTGGCTTCATTTCAGAATGAGAGAGTGTGACTTGCCCAAGTTTATCCCATGGGTTTCCATGGCTGAGCAGGTTTTTTAACTCTGGTCTCCTGGAAAAGGCAAGATAACCAAACTGAGACGATTGTGTTTGGGCTTATCATGAAAAGATGTGACTCATAGAGGAGATAATAATGTTTGAAAAGATAGTAGAGGAACATTGTATTACCTACTGGTAGATAGGTTCAGTCAAAGAAGCCACAGCCCTGAGAATGCAAAACCTGAACAGGTTTGTTGATAACAGGGTGATTTGGAAATTTCTCATTCATGGTGTTGCCACAAGTTGACGACAACTTGGCGGTGGTTATTAACAAACCCCTAGAGTCCTAGTTCAACATTACGCAATTCTGGTCTTCATTGTAAGGTATGTCTTGGTTGGATAGCATCCTGGTTCCTGTGGTTATTCATATTTGGAGATTACTGTGAAAAAGTGATTGGAAACTGCAACTTGTGGATTTTTTTATAGCAGCCAGTTACAGCCGTGTGAAACTACCTTGTTGCAATTTCTTCATAGGATATTGGATATTTCTAAATTCATGTCAAAGTATATGGATTGCAAGTTTTCGGGCTGTATGGCCATGTTCCAGAAGTATTCTCTCCTGACGTTTCGCCTGCATCGATGGCAGGCATCCTCAAAGGTTGTGAAATCTCACAAGAGGCTTCATTTCAGGCTGCTACCAAATGTGGCATTCCTTTTCCAAGTGAGGCTAAATGTGCCCCTTCTCTATTGTCCATCTGCTAATAACCATAGACCTGTTTATTCTGACATACCATCAACAATTGACAGGCTGTTGAAAGAAAGGCCTTTAATCATTTGGATTCCATGAGGATGTAATTTTACATTTTTTTTAAATTTACTAGTGTTTTAATGTTGCTTTATCCTGGTAATATTCTGTATGTTTTCACCTTTTGATGAAGCAGCCTTGCATCCTTGTTCTGGGAGGTTGGCTAAACAAATAATCTAGAAAATACCTAAAACTGTGGTAACAGAAATGTTAATCTGTTGAGGATACTTTAACTAGAATAGTTCACCCTACCATAAAGAGAAGCCCGCGCCAGAGCACAATTCATTTGCTTTTTATTTTTCTTCTTTTTTACAGTCAATCATATGAAGGTTACTCCCATGGACATAGCAACAGCCTCCCTACTGAATGTGTTCAATGGAAATGAGTGCGGGGCAGAAGGATCCTGGCAAGTAGGGGTGCAGCAAGATGTAACTCACACCAACGGCTGCATTGCTCTGGGGATCCGGCTCCCTCATACAGAGTATGAGCTCTTTAAAATGGAACAAGATGCCAAGGAAAGATACTTGCTGTATAATGGGCAGAGGCCTAGTGATGGATCCAGTCCAGACAGACCAGAAAAGAGAGCCACCTCCTACCAAATGCCCTTAATTCAGTGTGCCCCAAGAGAAAATAAACAAGGATCATTGGAAAGCGGAGCACCAGCAAGGATTTCCTGGGCATTTGCTTTGACCATTATATTACCTGTTTGTACTTTGCCACACGTGAGCATTCACAGCTAGAAGTTTAAAGTGAAATTACTTTACAATCAGGGCTGTACAGGATTTTTTGATACAGGGGAATGACGGAGGGATGGGCATCTTTTCAGACAAAATAAAAAAGACATGTATTTTCTTGATGCACTTGAATGCCTGAGAACTGTTGCTCACTTCCCCTCTTTGAATCATGAACAGCATTCATTTGTTTCTGCTTTGAACTTCATCAGATCTTATCCATGGCCTGACATGACTGCACAACAGTAATTGCACTTTAAGACTGCAATTTCTTTCTTTGAAAATTACGTGGATAAACCATCTTATACGTTTCACTTGTCAGTGTTGCCGTTGCAGTCTTTCTTACCTACAAAATCAGCTTCTGCTTTGGATTTAACTATGCATTTATTGTATTGTGTCAATACTGATAAATGGCATTGTTCTTCAGCTACAGTGTATATAAATGTGTGTGTATATGTATATATACATAAAAACTCAACTAATGATTATCTAAAATACTTTTATAGATTTTACATAAAATGAAATGTTTAGCATCAGGAATGAATGAAAAATCAGAATTTCAAGAATAATTTAAATCATTCTATGTAGATTTTTTTTGAACTTCAGAATAATCAACAATTTAGACTAATATTCTTATATTATTTCTGAAGGCATGTTAATTCAACATTTCCCAGCCGTGAAGGGAAGACTGGGTTTGCAGATTGGGTTTGCTCCTCCCACTTTTGCCAGGTAGGCTGTGGAGTCTTTCCCATAAGCAACATAGGATCTCCCGGAGAGCGAGAACAGTCACCTTAACAGTCAAGAGGTAGTTTACCTTACACCCACGATCTCTTTTTACCCCTAAATGCTTTGATTCCTTAAAGATCTGACCAACCTTGCCCTTTCTACAGTGCAGTTTTCCGTCCTGCAACCTTCGTACTATTCTGAAGGCTTTGGTGATTCTGTCATTTGAGCCTTGACCACCATCATCTTAAAGAACTCTATCTGCAGATCACACTCAGTAATGCTGGCATTAGAGACATGGTTCAACACCATGACAGAATTTAGGAGGTTATTTTTCTGTCTTTCTGTCCTCAATCATCAAAAGATCTGGCACCCATTGGGTATGTGCCAGACCATCTGGATTTACTTGAAGAGCACAAAACAACTTTCAGACATCAAACATGCTATTAATCCCCTTGCAGCTACTTTCTAAGAGTAAGAAGGTCCCTATCTCCACCTTGAATAGATGGATCAGAGTGTGCATGGTCTCATGTTATAAAATTCTGGGAGTCCCCCCTCCCCCCCGGTGCTATCACACATTGTACTTGAAGCGCTGCCACCTCTGTCTCACTAACGGGAATCTGTAGGGTGACCATGGGAAAGTCATCCTATACATTCATCAAACACTATAAACTTAAAATCTTTGAATCTGCTGAAACTGCCTTTGGTAGGAGTATCCTGTAAAAAGTGGTTAAATTCTAGGTCTTTGGATTGTTAGCAATGCCCTCCTTAATCAAGGAGGCTCTGATAACTCCCAATCTGCAAGGGGTTCCTCATCTGCTGGGAGAAGGAACAATGGTTCTTACCTGTGATACATCTATTCTCAGCAGATAAGGAATGAATCTCTTGACCCACTATGGATGCTGTTGTGAAAATGCGTTGAAATTATGTTGCAATGTATGTAGTTCTCCCTCACGGGGAGCAGGCTGACCTTTTCCCCTTCTTGATTGACTTTCTGAGCAGTTCTTGTGTTTCCATATTAATAAATCAAGATAGTTATTCTTTGGAGCACTTGGTTCTTTGACTCCCTAGAAGGCCTGTTGCTAGAAGGTCCTTTTTCCTGCCTGTTACCTAGAGCAAGTGGGAAGGGTGAACCCAATCTGCAAGAGTTTTATCTTTTATCTGCTAGAAATACATGTATCACAACTAAGAATGCATGTTCCTATGTGTAGGTTCTACCAACTGTTTACAAAAGCAAGATGGGGAAAAAATGCTAAGATTTCTCAAATGAAGTGGCAAACGAAAAGTGCCTTGCTTTCTGTTTCCCTTGGAATGACAGGTAATTGGAATGTCTGCTAGATGGAGTGTACTTATCTTGAATCTCACTTTATGAGACTGAGCAATTTATTGAAATGGTCAGGGCTAAGTCTATACCTATAAATGTCTACTTTTATAAGGAAGTATTTTTTTAAGAATTTACAATATGTTGTGGCAAAGAACTGAGTTTTATAGGCATCAAGGAGTGTGCAGAACAAATTTGGCTTAGAAAATTTGGCTTTGTGAATTGTATGATTTATTATTTATCGTTCTGTTTATATCCACTTCAACCTAACAGTGACAAGGCTAGACTATGTAGACCTTCTCCAATTTACCTTCTTACTGAAAATGAGACAATTGAAAGCCAAGTTATTGCTTTTCTTTTATGTGTGTATTCATATATATGGATGTGCTTTCACGTATCTACTAAGTGGGCAATTTCAAATTGGGAGGTGGAAACTAGTGGCAGAATACAGCCTCAGACTATGCCAAGCCTTTAGTGCAAACTCTGCTCCTCCATGTGTTGGACTTAAGCTCCCAAAAATCCTAGTCAGCTTACCAGCTGTTAGGAATTATGGGAGCTGAAGTCCAAAACATCTGGAGTTTTGAGAAATACTAGTATAATGGAAAGCAATTCTCATCTTCTAAATTCTTATATGATAAAGTACAAATACACAAGTTACAATGCGAGGCAAGAAGCATCAACCTGTACTAACGTTATTGTCTCTTTGAGGACTACATAGAATGAACTGGATATTTTGGTATTTTTACTTTGCTAATGTACACCAAGTCACATATTATATTTTAAAAGAAAATGAGTATGAAGTGACATTGCTGAATTCTTATGCCTTCATAGCATGTACAGGTTGAGTATCCTTAACAGAAATGCTTAGGATCATAAGTGTTTTGAATTTTGGAATACATGTATTTGCATATACACACATTAAGAGGTATCTTGGAGGTGGGACCCATATCTAAACATAAAATGTCTATTTCATATACACCTTAAATGTATATGCTGATGGTAATTTTATACACAATGTGTTTAATAATTTTGTGCATAAGTTTGAGTACACTAAACCATCAGAAAGCAAAGGTGTCATTATCTGCCATCTAGGTGGGCAATTTTGGGAGGATTTCAGTATTCCAGATAAGGCATGCTCAACTTCTACAAGGTGGTGGGTTTGGTTTGGGTTTTTAGCACATATTGCAATATGGACTCTTGAGAATGTTTGTTTTGCTTTGCAGCTCAAGTGCTAGATCCATAAATCATGATACTTCAAGTTTTCAGGTTTTCAGAGTATTTTTGAACAAACCCAGCTCCAGCTGATCTCTCAAAATTCTTGGAAATACAATTTAGATTGTTGTCATTCATCAGATATTTTGTGGGAACCCATCTGAAACCATTTTTCTTGAAAGGTCATGTAAACTTGAGTGATACCTAGTTGAGAGAGATGCAGATGAGATCCCATTCCTCTCAAAATATGTCATATTGCTAGATACTTGCCAGATGAACGTGGATGCTCTGGTTCAGTTTGAAAAGTCCAGATTCATTGTTCCATCATTCCTAATTTCCTAATGCCCTTTGTTATGTGGTTTTCTGGTGGTGATGTGTTCTCGAGGAGGTTGCCTTTATTTTTATCTGAAGCTGAGAAATTATGACTTCTCCAAGGTCACCAAGTGGGCTTCCATGATTGAGTGGAGATTCAAACTTTGGTCTCTAGAGTTGTGGACCAACACAAAACTGCACTACGCTGGCTCTCCCTGATGTGCTTACAGAAACTCATATTACGGAGACCCACTACTACCTGCTCCTATTTTTCTCTTGAGAGTCCAATCTGATCCATGAACTTTTTTTTCTTCATATTCCAGTTCTGGAGTGCCTAGGATATTTGAGCACCTAGTTAAAGAAAGGTTGAAAGAAGCTAAAATTCCTCAGGGTCTTATCAGTAGTGAATTCTTGTCTATCAGAGAGTAGAACATCAGCAAGCTGTAACATTTCAGTTGGTTTTTTTCCCCATGCAAAAAAGAGATTAATTTTATATTAAACATGATCCACCTGGATGAAATCATCTGCACATCATTATGCTCAGATGTCTATAAATATTATGCCATATTTATAATTGAGTATGATATTGGAGACCATGGTTGCCATGCAGATAGGCATACAAGCAGTTATATTTTTCTGGTTTGTTCTTTTTAATGAGTTGCTACCCATACAATCTTTAAACAACTGTTCAAATTGTCCTTGATGTAAAAATGTCATATATATATATTTGCCCTAATGAACAGAAACCCTCTTTTAAAATGATCTAGTACATTGCACATATTATACTCAGCCTCATAAGGCTTTCTTGGCCGGTTTATCACATCACTTTTCTGGTTTCTAGGTAGCATCACACTGTGTTCCAGTAACTTCTTGCAACATTAATATGGTTATCCACTTACCTTGACTTGAGGCAATATCTCTACTTTCGGCCTTCGTCTTCAAATGGCCACTGTTAGCATTGAGAACTTGTCACCCCCACCACCATACTCACAAATGTTGCATTTCTATTCACACATGCCACTTGCTCATTCATCACTACAAGTTGTAGGCACTTCTCTCCATGCATCTGATAAAAAGAAACGTAAGTCTATGAAGGCTTATGCTACCAATGCCTTCTCTCGGCCTCAACAGCGCTACAAAATGTCTCAGCTTAAGGCAACAATAGTTTTTTCAGTGATCACTATAGTCACATAATACAGCCCAGCAAGTGCAGAAATCTGCACAGGAGTTTCATGGCTTCCATGCATGGTACTACTGAGCAAACTGGTTTTTGAACTCACTGCATTTAATCTATTGCTACACTTACTGACCATTAGCTAATGTTAATGCTAATAAACTCAAAATGAATGTTCAGGCCAAACTTTTCAATTTCCTCAAAATTGGGGGGGGGGGGGGGGGGGGGTTGAGATTGTGGTTGTCAATTATTTTGTGCCTTCAAGCCCAACTTATGGTGATCGTAAAGGAACCTAAACATGGAATAATGCTGGCAGGGTTGTCCGAGGCCATCCAATGGGTTACCATTGCAGATTGGGAATTTGAATATTGGTCTGCAATAGTCATAACCCAACAGTCAACACACTACACCAGATACACCAGCTTTGCACAAATGTTAGTCACATAAAACAGAAATGTTGTCAGAGAGTTCATTGCAGCCTGTAAAAATCTAGGCCAAATATGAAACATCTCCAAAAAAGGATAAAATATAATGTAGTATTGCCATCTAGTGGTAGCACCTTGCTTCTGATTCTGAAGAAACAAGGCTTTAATAAAATATGTAATACAAGGGAAATATAGTAGATATTTCTAATTAATTATATGTTCTCACAATAAAGGGAACAAGCCAAGCAGAGTGTAATGAAAACAGACAAGTGGTATTTTTAAAAGAAACAGTAAGCATTACCGATACATTGTTACAGATTAACTAGCCACTAGATGTAATGCTACAAAGCAGCTAGAAGACTGCAACGTAGTACTAGCCTAAACAAGTTAATACCTTGGCATGTTCTTTTTTTCAAATCTCACAAGGAAAATGTGTGTCATTTTTTCCTCATCAAACCTTTTAATTTAGCAGTGTATAAGTGATTAAAATACTAAATACAAATAAGGTTATGTCAGAAAATGTGAACAGACTGTAAAACTCTTATCTGTCTGGTTTCCAATGAAAACTGGCTTTTATAGTACAGTATCAAAGTGAGTTACAATTATTCCTTCAGTAAACAACAAGCTCTTCCAAAATCTTCTAAGTATGCATACCAATAACTTGGGGTAATTAGAAAATTTTCCAATTTTTTTAAATAGCTGACCAACAGCATTTTAAAACTCTCTAATTTTCACAATTAAGACCCAACACAACTGTTGGAAATGTAATTACTAAAAACAGACATACTGGTATCTCCTCATTTAATCACTGTAGATGGTCCTAAAAGCTAACTTCCAAACTGCTTTCTATCTTCCCATGCTCAGAAGCCATTTTGAAAAAAAAGCTGAAAAGCTCCATACTTTGGTTACAAGTAATACACATTTAATAAACCCTCAATCAAATCAATCGTTAGAAAAGACTATCAAATGAATGTTAAATTGGAAGCGTTATTCTCAGTACAAAATAGATACAGTTTGCTATATTCATAAACTGGTTACAGTGAAGAAAAGTTTAAAAAGCAGTTGGCAATTGTCTTATTAATTTCAGTACCCTTTGGGGTGCTGATTCACACAACCGTATCTACCAGATGCTATACTGTGGGAAATGTTTATCAGAAATACAAAACTATCAGCAAATTTAATAATGCCTGTTCCAACATGATCTCTGAATACTATATGTATAATGCTTTATATTAATTTACTTCAGTTAATCCAGTTACACTAAAAGGGCACAGAGTAAGAGAACAGCCAATGTCCCTAACTAGCAGCTCCAGTCTGATTTCAGGATTTGGGTATGAATGCAATTATAGTTGAAAAGCAAAGTGACCTACACTTCTAAAAAATGTTTTACTTCAACTTGTGTGTTAATTATTGTCATCTAATATGTTTATTGGACTGGTCAAACGCATATCGAAAGACAGTAATGTGCAGGATGAAAGAAGACTGCCTCACATAATATTCCTGGGCCACTGGCCAGCAGAGTTGAAAACCTAGGAGATAAGCAAATTATATTTGATAAAGATCACTTTAATTTAGTGGTTCTCAATCTGTGGGCCACGGCCCTGCAGTGGGCCGTGAAAACAAAAATTCGGTCTGCAAACCTCCTTCCTCTTTATTTATTTAATTTCTGCTCCTTTCTGCAGAGTTAACCCATCCCACCCCTTTTGGTAGTAATGATGGAGAGTGGACCCTGGTCAAAAAAAGGTTGGGAACCACTGCTTTAATTTAAATTATGGGTTCTCACTATCCCCCAGTAATACCAGGCATTGGCACCAATAAATCTACTTTACAGACTGCAGTAAAAACCCAAGCAACTGTGACCTACAGACTAATGACATTACAGCATTACTGTGCATTCTGTATCTTGTATCCTGCTTCATCCACACATTGCTGTTTTTAAAAGCAGCTTCAAAATGCTTACAGTAACTTAATAAGAAAAATGCAGCCATAGCTGCTCAAAAACTATTAAATTTAAGAACAATCTGAAAATACAGTGCCAAATCCACTTAAAGATTTGCATATGTTTATAGGCAAACCACTTAAAATCTATAATAATGAGCTGTATTCGTTTTCCATTATACTTCATTTATATTTGCTGAAAGATTTCAATTAACACATATGATTAATGGCAAAAGGTAGAGGGAAGAGCATTACTTAACAAGGAAGTATGTAAGACAAAATCCAGCTCGCGTATACCTCTATTAAACCCAACTAAACTGTCACAGAAGCACGCAAGGTTTTGCACTCTCTTGAATTCTTAATCGATACAAAAACTAGGAGATGCGGGAAGAAGCAGGGAAGTTCAAATTTTCTGTACACAGGTTGTAGTTATGAGGCCTGGAGTTAACATTAGCCCAAAGATGGGGAATTCACCCTTGGCAGGTGAGCAGCCATCAAATTACACCTAGCAATGCTCAGTGGGATAGAGGCAATGATGGGTATCAGTTTCTGAAAATACAAGACCTGCAGCTAAAGGCTGTCAGAGACCTCAGATTGCACCCAGGTAGCAATTTCTCTCTTCCAGGCACTAAATAACAATGTGGGAGACTCAGGTGATCCCTGTTTTAATACCAAATACCAGCTTTTAGCTAAGGTAGTATGTCATATTTGTATGAACCGATTTTCATTATCACTAACTTAATGTTGCTTCCACAACCATAGGACTAGAATGTTTACATTATTCAAATCATGTAAAACCATGTTATACAATGACACAGCAAATCAGGATACTACCAAGAATAAATTTCACTGCTTATGACCTTAACAAATCTGTTTATGAGGCCTGGTTTACATTCAAAATATGAACATATCCCTTATTATATGTTCATCTTAATATTTTTGTGAACACATCATTAAAAGAGATATATTTCTGAGACAATGCCATATGAGCACCTGGTTGTAGAATCATTGGATTCCTAAAATAGTTCTGCGAAAATTTGGGTTCAATTAAAATATTCTGTAAGTTAAATATCATACCTCCCTGAACATAGCTATTTCTTCTGATTTCAGAAATTAAACTTGGTCCATACATGGTTGGAAACCTCCAAAGAATACCATGAATGCCAGGTAGGGTTAGGAAGCAATCCTTCCCCAGATCTGGAGAACTGTCAAGAGTTGAGAATGCTAGTGTAAAACAGTACTCTAATCCAAGAGAAGGCTGCTTTCTATGGGGCTATATTCCTAGGTTTTGTTCCAGGACGAAAGGAGGGAGTTACATTTTTCATGGAAGTCTGACTTGTGTAAGAAACAGTCATCCTACTACTGGAAAGTAAACTGTTCCTACCTTGGGGGCAATGTCTGTTCCTACAGAAAATTATCATTTATCACCCACTTGCTATATTAGAATGCCATCCAGTGTAGGACCCAAAGTTTCTGCAGCTTTTCAGCTCAACGGTAATGTGTACCAGCATATCCAGGGAAATAAGCTGATTCTTTTAATTCAGCAGCTAAAATTAAGATTCAAAAACAGATAAATAACCAGGCCTCTCAAACTGTACTTTAGTGGCGCACCTCCAAATTACTTGAAGTATTCTCTCACCATAGCTATGGGGGGAAAGGAACACAAGCAAAACATGGCCCACCAGAAACAGTGATTTATCAGTGTCCATATATAACATCCCACAACCTAGAAAATATTTGTGGACTTACAAACATGTTCACAGATGTAAAAGCCAATGGCTCAGTTATGAGACACCTGTTGTTCAGAACATTTATTAATTGTGATAAGCAGCAAAATCTGATTTATGACAAACTAATGATAGTACATAATATACCCATTGTCAATGCTGACCTCATAAAAGCTTCAATTGAAATTTAACACTTTTGCAACGTTCGCAAATTATTTATTTCGGTTACTCAAGTCATAACATCCACTTATTATGTGATATTAGGTTGCCACCATGTTCATTGTGTTGCCACCACCTTTGCAGAACAAAGAATTATCCACTTAGGAACTTGTTTTACATTGCATTTGAAGCTTCCTTTTTAAATTGACTAAGCAGAACCTGGGTAAAATTTCCTTTATACTAAATAAAGGAAGTTTTTTAAAAATCTCTGTTCACTAGTCAGTTTTTCAAAGGGATTCTAGGTAACTGAAATCTACAAAGTTGTAACTCATAATTTGTTTGTGCAAATATTCTGTGCTCTGTGTACAACTCTGGATGTAAGGCTCATGCCTTCCAAACTGCAAGTGCCAGTAATACACACCATACATGAAACTGAATTTGGGGGATAGGTCACTCTTGCAAATTTCAAAATACCCTTTTCTCATGAGTAATGACAGCAAACTCCCTCACATTTATGTACACAAGCAAGCAGGCAAAATTCTAACCATTTCAGGAACAGACAATTTAATCCATATTACATAATTTCACTGAATACAGTTGATATCATTCAAAGTCACTCCTGAGACCAAAATAGTTTAGCGTTACATTTTATATACAGTTATGAAAGATTAGAAACCAGAAGTGCATCCATATAGGCAAGAGCACCTCACTGTACACATACTGCTTATGATGTCCAAGTGCACCTTGACGTATTCGGTAATATTGATGCTTAACATGTATGTCTTGCTAAATTATCTAATTAGGTCCTCATAACCTAATGCTCTACTAATAATCAGACTGTAGACTTTGGAACATCATAATCTGCAGCACAAGATCATGCTCACATAGGATACTTCCCAATATGAAGCTTCCAAGTTGAGTCCACCTTGGATAAATTCTAAATTCAATCTGTTCTCTAAGCCTAAAATGTGTAGCCATTACTACAAGCCTTAGTATACACTATTTTAACAGTAAACATATCTTTGAAAATGTTCTCCTCCACACAGAAAAAGTAAAATGTATCTAGAAGTTAGAGCCTATACATTAGTCTTTTTTCCTGTAATCTTCCAAAGGTCAACTTCCTTTAAGGAATAAATGATTTCTTCTGACATACTATTTATACACCACAGTATGAAGAGTCATTGATTTCAGAATCGGTGAAGTGAGAACCAGACTTGAGTATACTTCTTCCAGTCACCACAGTCAGAGAAGACTCAAATGCAGATATCGGAACACACAAAAAAAGAAAATGTCTGTATTTGCATGCTTTTAAAGTGAAACATCAAGCAGTGGTTTGTTCATCATCTTCTTTGCAAATTGCAAGATGTTTTATAAAAGTTTATCATAGAGAACAGTGACAGTATATGATATACATACATCTTCCATTAAAAAAGCACTAAGAATCAAAGGCAACCAAGAGGATGTATATTTTTGCTAGAACATTTCTCAGCTACGTAAGATCTAACACGCTTAGCTGCATCATATCCAAGAATATACAAAATTCTGCTTACAGTTATAAGCCGCCCAGAATATCAGTTTAAAAATAATTCCCTGTGATGGATAAAGGTTTAGAATAGCGATATTGTGCTTTTAAAATTATCTGCTCATGACATAAAGACCAGAAATGAAACAAGCCAAAGGATTAAGTGCTGAAAAGCAGTTCAGGTCCAATAAAATGACATTTCTAGAACACGTGCAGAACACCTCACTAAAAGGCAGCTGTGCCAAGACGCTTGCAGACAAAGTTTTAGCCTCCTCTCACAAAACAGAATGATGAAAATCTGTTCAGTCATAATCAGGCTGGGATATTTATATGAAAAATGTCAAATGTTACATATAGTGTAATTCTAGGAAACAAACAAAAATGACTGTTTGTTTAAAAAATAAATACCAAAAACTAAAAAAAGATAAGGGAACAAAAGAAAGTCTCATAAATCCCAATAGTATGTTGAAAAAGAGAAATTTAAAAGATCTGCCTTTGTAATTAATCCTGTATCTCACAACCAAACTGTTTCTGACCTTCCATTAAACATGTGGAAAACACTATATTTCTTCTGAGACCTTACTGGTGCCAGCCCAAGACACAACTAGTGAAATGAAAAATCTTCATCTGTGACAAGAAACATGTTAGAAAGCCTTTCTAAAAATAACAATTCACAGAAACAAGCTACCCAGCAGAAAGTCTGTTAACAGTTTTATTATTTTGTATGTTAAATACCATGGAATAGGGCTGTAAGGATGAAAAACGTTTTCAACAACCGCCTCACAAGGGTAAGAAATTCTGCCATGATATTAGCAAAGTAAGGTAAAGGAGGAATTTACACACTAAGAGTAATCATTTCCCCACAGAATGCCTCATCATTTTCCTGAACAAGTGGGATTAGCATTCTAATAATCATTTTCCAGGAGGCAAGAGCAACAGATAAATTTTTAGAAGGATTATTAAAATAACATTTACAAGACTTTGAACAATTTTTAACTCTTAGTAAAACCACAGAAAGAAATAACAATTCTTTATTTATGAGTTTTCATAAAGGACTGAATGTGCAACTGACACCTGCTATAGATGAATTAATATACAATTTTGTCCAGCAGCCGAACAGTTTGTCTTTTTATTGTGTTGTCTAACCGTGCAAGATCATTAGAGGCCAAGCCTATATGATGCTGTACACAAAAATGGTCACCTGGGCCATACTACCAATGAAGTGGTAGGTAAATACATTTTTTTTCTGGCCAAGAAAAAAAGGAAGCTGCGTTCTGCATGCTTCTTTCTTTCTCCCTTTCTACACGATGAATTTCCCTAAAAAGAATCCAATGAAAAGGGCTGCAATTACAACAAGAAGTGAGGGAAGAGGGTTGGAGCCATTATCCCGGAAGGCCAAGCCTGATGGTCCAGGTTTGTCTGAGTGTGCCACCTTTCTCAGCCTCAAACCTTCATCCTGAAAATACATGGAATAAACCCATCAATTAAAAATTCTTGTAAAAGTAATGTCCAATCTGAACTTAACCAAAATATATCAACATTCCTGAGAAGTGTAACTATTAGATCATATTTGTAGATATGCTATTTGCCTTTAAAAGGACATCAAAACATAAAAATGTAACACATAGGCCTATTTAGAACAATGTCATTACATAATCATTTAAGTATACGATTATAAAGACCTCCTTCCCACATAATAAAATTCTATAAGGTGTTTCAAAACAATGGACCCTATTTGAAATCGCTATATCCTTGCAACCATGAATGAAACTCTAACCTTTTGAAAGAATGTTGCATAGTTTCAAATTATTGCTGCTAAATAATAATAAGAATAATAAATAATAAGAAGAAAATAAATTGCAACTTTATTTTATGCCCCAACACCATCTCCCCGAAGGGACTTGAGGCAGCTTATATGAGGTTCAAGCCCAACATAAAGCAAAATTTATAAGCTAAAACACAGTTAAAAACATAATAACATATACTGTAGCACAAACAATCTAATTAAAACAACTGAAAATGGCAAAATATAAAACATCATAAAAGTGTATCAAACCAACCTCAACAACCAGTAACCAGAAATATGGTGGGCATAATCAGATTAGAGAGGGCAGGACATAGGCTTATGCAAAAAACAAACTATAGAGCCAAGCTGGGGGTAAAGTGTTGAATACAACCTTTTCAGTAAATTAGGAATGGGCATTCATGAACAGGGACTAATCATCATTCAAATGCACACCGGAACATATAGGTTTTCAAATCCTTGAAGAAGGCAGACAGAGTGGGGGTTAGTCTACTAGATGTCTCTCCAAGCATACAAATGCCCCCAGCCTCAGCCATTTGGAAGGCCCATTAGCATAAGGCCTAATGAGATATCCTCCATTTGCAGAGTTTTTTTTTAAAAAAAATCTGGCTCAATATGGTGAGCAAAACACAATAACTTGGATAATTCATTAAACAATTTGTAACTTTTTGTGTAACTGCAACATGTTGCCATTGTGAAATATACTGCTTTGAAACTGGGTCCGTTATTTTGAAACACTCTGTATGTATTAAGACCCATGTTCAAAAATAGAAAAACAGAGGTCCAAGAATTTAAAATGTCTAATTTTCCCAGAATCTTACTACTCAATTTAGTTTCAGGATTACAAATTAAACAGACAACGGAACACAGAATCAACTAGATTTTTGATCATATTTCCATAGCTTTTCATGGTGCTTAACAAGAAAAAAAGAAACGTCCTATATTTATTTTGATTTTTTTTGACCCCAAAATAAAATTTTAAAAACAGCGCAAGGGCAAAAGGTGAAAATCTCCATCTCCCAGAGCTTCTCCTGAGTGTTGGACAATGTTCCTCAATAGAGTGGACCATAGAACAGAGGACTGAAGTAAATGGTTAAAAATCAGGAAGAGGTGCCTTCCTGCACACTTCCTTTCTCCCTGTGCTCTGCAATGTGTGCAGTGTTTGTGGACCTTAATAAAAGCTTCAACTGAAATTTAACACATTTGCAACACTTTTGATCACGGCTGGAGATAAAAGATGCAAAACTTCCTAGATCAAAAAATGACATCCTAGTTCAAAATTGACCCCAGAATTAAATTTTAAGAATTCACCAGACTGTATCCTCAATAATTACAATCTGATCATATTCTCTGATTTAAACCCAAGCTTAAATCATAGCCTACTGACTTGATGACACATAATGGGATTTTAACCAACCAAGAAAACATGTCCAGATGCAAAACAAGCAAAGGGAAAAAGGAGAGATGAGAATGCAAAGACACAAGGCTTTCTATCTATCCGTCTGATATTCGGAGTTTATATTATGACTTTATGTGATACCTACATTATACTTGTTTGTGGAAAAAAGAAAATTAGACACATTATGATGAATAATTCGGTTTGAACAATTTCAAAAAGTCTTCCAGAGATCCATGTCATTATTTAAAAGCAATTTATCATGTAACCCAATTTTATAAAACTTACTCTCAGGTGCCTATTTTCCTCCGATAGTTTCACCAAATCCGCCTGAAGTCTTTTGCATTCCTCCACTAGCTTTCTTGTTTCAGTGTCGTTAAGTGAAATGCTATGTGGTTTTGCCATTGGCCCATCCTGCTTACTTGTGTTCAGTATTGGAGCAGATTTGCTTGCATCTATGTCATTCTGCAAATATTTAAGAACATGCAATTCTTTAATCAAAAGTAGTAGTGAGTATTTTTCAATTTAAGTTAGTTCTACGGATGACACATATGAAGGAAAAACTGAGCAAATAGTAAACATTCATAAAAGGTAGATGATTGGTAAAACATTGTTTTAAAAATTAAAGGGATTAATAACAGAAAAAAATTAATGTTGAACCCATCTTCCCTCTCATTCTAAGATGAGAAAGTTTTCTAGGGAAGTAATAGTTCAAACTCTGTCCAGAAACTTTTCTTCATCACCTAATCATAGGTGATGATTGAGAGAGTAGAGATATGACTGTCACTTGGGCTTTCATTTACTTTTCCCACTTCTTCTATACCCATGCTTGCTAGTTTGGCTCTGAGTGAGCCACATTCCACAGTAAAAATATAACTCTGAGTTATAGTTACCTCTGAAAAGCAGTGGAGGAATTACAGCATGAGATGAGAGTAAAGAAAGTATAACAACACCATCACAAACTATATAACTGCATGAAGCTTGGATTTTAAGTAGCAGTCACAAAGTAAGGAAGTAAATATATCATACAACTAAAATATTTACAGCCTCTGTTTTTAATCAGAGGCTGAATGGTCATCTGTCAGGAGTGCTGATTGTGTGTTCCTGCAAGGGAGGGGGTTGGACTAGATGGCTTTTGTGGTCTCTTCTAACCCCGTGGTTCTAACTTCAAACCATGGTAGGTATGACATTGAACAAGGTCCCGTATCTTCACTTCTTCCAAAACTGTGAAATTTCTAATTCAAGCAAGGAACAATGGAACTGGATGACTTGTTCTCATCTCTGTTTATTGAGCCTAATACTGGGTGCATCTACACTGTAGAATTAATGAAGTTCAACACCACTTTAACTGTCATAGCTCAATGCTATGGAATCCTGGGATTTGCAGTTTGGTGAGACACCAAGACTCTTTGGCAGGGAAGCCTAGAGGCTTTGTAAAACTGCTTCTCCCAGGATTCCATAACACTGAGCCATGAAAGTTAAAATGGTGTCAAACTACATTAATTCTACTGTGTAGATGCAATCACTGTCATCTAAGCCATTTTAAAGACATCTTGGGGCTTGCTTCCATTTGCCAGGGAAGGCTTAGTCTAATGCTTCTTTTCCCTACTTCTACAGTCTTAAGGACCTCTTTCTCATTTCAAGGGAAATCTTTAACTTTTTCTTTTTGTTATGCTTTTTAGTCTTAGCAAAAGTTAAAATTCTACAAAAACAAAATGATACAATACAAAAGAAAACAAAGCTTATGATAGTAGCCATTTTGATAATCTTCGCAGTTAAGGCTTGCTCAAACCATAATATTTTCTACTTCAAAGCCAAGTTTTATATTTTCTTAGCTAGCTACAAAAGACTGAATGAGCTACTGAAGTAGTCCAAGCATCTTGGGGCTGTCAGCTCCCTCAAACAAACCTGATTCATCTTGTGTTTGACCTCACTGCCTTGCTCCATCATGTCAATCTTCTGGCTAAAATCTGCAGCTGTCTGAAGAATGTTGGTGCTGGCTGTAGTTATGTACAAAGATCCTGAAGGTAAAGCCTGAGGTGGCAGGTGAGACATGCCCTCAGTACTCAGCAGATCTCTCATTGCAAGACTTAGGGGATTCACTAAATCAACGGCTAAAGGATTAGGTCCTGCATCCCCACTCTGCTACTTAGAAAAACACAAATGTTATGCAGAAGCAGTCAAGCAACAGCTCACAAAGCATCAAAACAAGCAAAAAGAGGATGGCTTCAAATACTTGATTTACTTACTCAGACGATGAACCCAAACACATTTAGTCAGGAATTAAGCTCCATTTTAGGCAGTGCAGTTTTACATCTGTATAAACAGATTTCTGTGACCAGAACTAAAACTAAAAGTTCGACTTGCCACCACACTTCTTGCTGTTAACAAGACAAATGTTCTTATCTGCACATTTTATAAATGTTTAGGCCCCTTCCACACAGCTGCATAAAATCCCACTTTATCTGCTTTGAATTGGAATATATGGCAGGATAAGACAGTTTAAAGCAGATATTGTGCGATTTTTGGTCTTGATACTCTGGATTATGTGGCTGTGTGGAAGGGCCCTTAAGTCTCTTTAGCTGCTGACCATGAAAAGCAACATACAAACAGAATTCATCTTAGGTTTGTAGTTTTTAGGATCCCAAACTAAGAAAATGGTTTTTTTCCCCTTATACTTAAATTGTTCATTGTTGTGGTAAAATAACAACATTCCTCTGGGCTACCTTTTCCCCCCAGCTGGATCAGATCGAGGGCCCTTCCACACAGCCCTGTCTCCCAGAATATCAAGGCAGAAAACCCCACAATATCTGCTTTGAACTGGGTTATCTAAGTCCACTCAGATAACATGGGGTTTTCTGCCTTGAAATTCTGGGATATAGGGCTGTGTGGAATAGGAATAATTTGCCTTCACCACCCCAATGAGCTATCTTGGCATGGTAAATATTAGATCCTGTGAAAATCTGCACTTGCTTCATTGAGTAATTTTTTATTCATGCCAGTAAACCCATCAAACTATACTGAAATTGACAGCTTTTAGTAATAAGAATACACTCAGACCATCAGCTGGATTTAAGTGATATTAATGAATAAGCATTTTCAACAACTGCTGTACATGCCAGTAGCTCTCTAGTTCTATGCAGTGTTGTTCTGTACAAAGTTCTAGCCTATCGTTCTATGTAGTACTGTAGCTTTTACATATTCTACATGTGTAGTATTTAATTGCTGTTTCTACAATCACCATGATTTTTTAAAAAAGAAAACATGAAATAAAATCTACAAAATAAAGAAAATTCTAAAGGTCAGATGGGTTCTGACTTTTGTCAGGTCTTTATAGCTACTAAATTGCATGTAGATAAGCTATTAATCTGCAAAATGTGGTGAAAGTCTCCAAATTATTTCAATCAATACCAGCATTAGAGTTGGGATTCTGATCAACTTGTTTTGTATCCTCTAAATTAACACCACATTCTCAAATCTTTCAATTATGAAATATAAGTTTGATGAAATCAGTGTTCTAAATTAAATACATAATTCACAATATTAATTAATGTAATCCATACTAAAATTGGCTTACCTCAACATATTTTGTCCAAAATATTTACTATCATATAATTAGTTGCTGAAAATTAACTGTGTTAACTTCCAGTCCAGTTATTAAGTTCACTGCATTTTAATGAAAACCTGAAACTTTGGTACATGATGGATATTGTGAACAATATTTCAGAGTATCTTACAATTATCTTTAATACCTGTGCTTCTTGAAGTGAAGCAATACAGCATGAACTGCAAACCCTAGAGATTAAAGTACTGCTTTCCCCTTTCTGTCCATTCCAGATATATTTCCTGCAATCTTAACCAGGTAGAATTACATTTGCTAGACTCTTTCACCTTTATCTGGTCATAAGACTAAATCTTTTCACCCTTTCTAGGTTGGTTCCATTGAAATCAAGCTCTCTTCATTTCAACAGCTCCACTCTAGGTAGGATTAACACTGGATTTAGCCTCTTTCCTCATAGCCTCAGGCAAGCCCACCAATGCTGTGTGTGTTAACCAGAGCCCCTGGTTAACACACACAGAGACCATAGCAAAGTTTTCAAAATGCTGCGCAAACAAAATTCTAGGACAGACATTCACTCTCACAATAATGGCCACAGGAACCACAGCTTGAAGGTAGAGCGGGGAAACATACAGAATCCAGAACAGCAAATGACTGTAGAGGTTAAACATCTAAGATAAAGACAAGTACTGAATATTGTGATGAGAACACCATTATTCCATTAGTGAAACCCACTAATATAATACAGAACAACTGCACATTTAAAATTATAAATATTTTTTATAACATGTAAGTATTTGAATTTTCAGGATTTCTTGACGAAACACAGATGCCTGTGCTTCACAGCACTGCCCTGCCAAATGATTTCTTAGATAATCTCCACAGCATTTACAACAGGGGCAAGACCTGGTCTTGTGAATGGACCAAGTGGTCCTGAGCAGTGCTATGTGGTCATCTTCCATTGCAACATTTCCAGTATGTTTGCAAGGAGGTAACAGCAGATAACACAAGGGTGTTGCAGAATGATTAAGCAAAAGTAGATTGTGAATGAACATAAAATATCCCTCCTTTTTAGGTGGCATATTTCTAGCTCTTAACTTGAATAATGGAATCAAAACCTTGGGAAGCTACTATCAAATGATGCAACTTTAATAAACAAAATGGAGCACTGAAAGATTGTCTTTAACTTTTTAACATTTTACCTCATACTTTTGGCCCGCCTTCTGTGTCTGGCTTTATTATGCTGTTTTATATTGTTGATTTTGTTATGATTATTTTGTTATGATTATTTTGTTATTGTGTGTTTATTATGTTGTATTATTTTGGGCTTTGCCTCATGTTAGCCGCCTCGAGTCCCCTTTGGGGAGATGGTGGCGGGTTATAAAGATTATTATTATTATTATTATTATTATTATTAGTTTTTTTTATTATTTAACGCACACAGAAGAATATGCGTGACTTTATGCTCAGTTGCTGTATGTTTTCATAATGAACACTGCTCCCAATCCAAAAGCATTGCTGTACCTTGAAGCCTCAAGATTTTGCTTGCCTGACTCAAGTGAGAAAGTAGTATCCCTGCACCCCAAAAGTGCCCTTTATGCTCCTTTGAGGAACAGCCACCTTCACAACTGATTGGTTTACAAGCACTTTGTAAGCCAGATAATTTTTCAGTATTTCCCTATAAGGTTACTTCTACTTTTCACAAAATTAGTTGGGAATATGTACATCCACTCTTACCTACTACACATTAATCTAAGCACAATTTGGCAAAGATTGTATATATCAAGTGTCTATGTATTTAGAAAGAAATAAAAGCAGTAAAGCTTATGAAGCCCCAGAACACTGATCAGACTGCCCTACATTTAACCTAAATGACATAAACACTTCAGATAAAAATTTAAAAAATCAAGAAATATTTTAGCTTAATAGATTTGTCCATAAATTACAGGGAGGAAAGGTTGCTTTCTTTTTTTACTTACCAGCTTATCATTTTCATTAGGCATTTCAAATACACATCTCAATTTGGAATCCATTAAATCCTCGGGTTTTGCATCCTTCCACTATGTCAACAAAGAAAATACAAGAAAACAACTATTTTATTCCAAATTTTCAAAAACAATTTCCATAATAATGCAAGTGTAGGTTTATACACACATGTTAAAGAACCAACAGTGTATAGTAGGTAGCATCTGGACTGCTTTGGAGATAAACCTTCTGACTAATTAAGGCAAAACAATAAAAAGCCATGCTCAGATGTACTGCTCTCCTTTTTTCTTCATGCAATTATCAAAATCTCCCTAATTTATGTAGAAATATCACATTGGCACTCAACTGGGGCATCCTGGTTAAGTGACAGATTAAAGCAGTAAGTCTCAAACTGCTACATCCCTACAGTGGAAGAGGGACATTCCCAATGACAAGCCAAGATGCACCCACAATGAGCCAATATAGATGTATTGGAACAATTTTGTTATCTCTGAACTTAACAAACAATACAAAGTTGCATTTGTAAGATATTACAAAACAGAACCAGGAGGAAAACACCTACAGATCTTATCAGAACATAAATTGCCATTATACAAAATAGAGACCTACAACAAAATGATGCACTGTGCAGTATTTGTTCTAGGCTACAGCTGCTCAGTATTCTTTCATTCTCCAGTTTTCCATTTCACCCCTCTCCAGCAGTCAATCAATATTCTGTGCCTACAGGAGACCCTCAGTCCTCAGCTTTTCCCTTTAATTTCACTCCTTTATTTGAGCTGTTTTGTGGAAAGGGAATGAACATCTCCGATGAACATTTCAACTGACTTCTATAAGCAAGTCTTGCCACAAATCAGTTCATGAGAACATTTAAAAACAGCCTTTACACTGTATACGACAAAATTTTGTATCTTGGTTCCATAAACTCAAAAAGCTTTTAAATTAAGTCTTAAGCACAATGAAAATTGACCAGTAACAAAACAATAGAGGCACACATTGGATTCAGAGGCAAAGCTTTAGGTCACGTTTCAATGAACACCACATCCTGGAATAGAATAGTAAAATCATTTCTTGAATGAAAATCCATCAGAAAAAGAGATTGGAATACTAGGTTTGAACATTCATCCTGTTCACCATTTCATTTTATGTGGCCCTCCAGATGCTGGAGTACAACTCCTGTATTCCCCATCAGTATGCATCATGACTAGAGGTGATGGAAGATATTATATAGGAACATCTGGAAGGCTCAAGTTTGTTCTGTTTAGTCAGAAGAGTGGGATCTGAATGTAGATACAAGGCTAGGAGATATAATGTCTGCTTTAAAATGCCTTTAACCTTTTCCCAATTTCAGAGCAATAAGTGCTGTTGGGCTGCAATTCCCATAATCCACAGTCTGCATAGCAGATAATCAAAAGCAACGGGAGTTATTGTTCAATAGCATCTGGGAACTCAAATTGGGTAAAAACTGAAAAGCACTAACCACTATGTAAAAACATTATAGTTGGCCCTCTGTATTCACAGATTCTTCGTCCATTAATTCAACTGCCCTTTGAAGGCAACCATGAGGCTGATGGGGCCCCTCGATGAACATGAGTTTGACATCTCTGGGAAAGATGTTAGAAATTGGAAAGTAATCATTAGCCTAAACACTAAGGGTTGAACTTTTTAATTTGTTTAGCTATTTTTAACTGTCTCATTGATGTAAGTGCTCATCATAATGTAAGTGTTGGGCGGACCATGGTATTTACAAAAAATGAAGGTTGTCGAATGATTTTTCTTAATGGTTCCTTCAAAAGGATTATTTTGGACATTTTAGAGTTGACTTCCTCCAAATTGTGACTTTTCCTCACATGGACTACAAAGCCCATAACAGGATTGTCCCTTGGGGATGGAGGGAGTCAACGTATCTGGTGACTGTTGTGGAAAGCTGTGCCAAAAGAAGACATCTCGTTTTATAACCTTTTCAATTCAGTTTGGTACTCATTTGCATCATTTTTTTTCTTACTATCACCACCAATACATATATTTTACCTCATTCTTGATTGTTAAAGGTTATTATCTAAATTTTAGTATCTGAAATTTCTGAAAGTCACTAGCAGGAGTGTATTAAGATTTTCACAGGCCCTAAGAATTCTTGCATTTGATTCCTCACCTCACCCTGATGTATCACTAGAGATGGACATCATTGCAAAAAACTGTCCTATTGACCTCTGTTGGCTTAAAACATCTATGTCCATTAAAAACTGGAAGTCAAAAATGCCTTCATTTTGAATTTTTGTTTTTCTTTCCAATTTATGCATTTTATAGTCTTGTTTTGTAGGCCCTAGGCACTATGTCTAATGTGCCTAATGGAGAAGATGGCCCTCATATTTGAGCATATGAAGAACATTTATCCACTCAACTGAATCCTTGCTTTCATTCTGCCCCCACCTCAAATCAAGATATGTGGCCTAAATAGTAGAGTTCAAGTTCTGCCTGCAGGAGTGAGGAATCCAAATACAATCTGTGGTATCTGCTGTATTAATGATCTGTACTTTTCTTTATCTTAACTCTACAATTAAAAGAGTGTGGATAAGGAAGAGGAGGAAGCTGATAAAACAAGCAGAATTGAATCATGACGAGTGAGAAAAGGGGAATCCAAGACAGGAACGAATGGGGACAGATTTAAGGAAACCTTTTCACTAAATTACCCAAGAGTGATCAGTGTAGATATGCCCTTCAATGAAGGAGGTATACTTGTATACAATAGATTTAAGTCCAGAATGTAATCAGTAGAGATAATAATAATACTTTATTTATAACCTGCCCTATCTCCCTGAGGGTACTCAGATATTAATGTAAACAACCACAATGCACTTTTAAGAAAAAATCTAAAACTCTTCTTTCCATACAGATCCATTCCATAGAGAGAACATTTTGAAAAGTTTTAAATATGTGTGAAACCATGGCACTTAATCTGTACATATGTTTTGAAGTTTCTCTCCAGTGGTCCATGATGTTACCCTCAATCCACTACTGTCAGCAATCAGGAGAAGTTAGAGTCTCCAAGAAAAAGGGAATACCAGACAAACCTAAGGAGGTTTGCTCTAAAAAACCAAAGAAAGAATCTACCTTGTAATCCTACTAAAAACAGAAATGCAAAGTATCTGTTTACTTACCACAGCTTCCATATCAGTGATATTTGATGGCGCAAAGATTGTCTGTACCATAAACTTGTGTTTACTTTTTTCATTTGGATCATAGTCAAAGGGTTGTAACATCACTGAAGAATAGACAAAAGTATGTATTACACAGGGGTACATACCTTCTTATGTGAATGTTAAAACATATTTAAAATTCAGAACATCAGAACTGTGTAGGAACTTAGTCACAGCTATATCTTAACAAAATATAATGAAAAAACAATCTTCTATCATATACTGTAAATATGCCTCTGCTAAGTATCCTGAAGCCTCGTCATTATGAAACACTTACAAATTAGGTCCAAGTTCTCTTGCAAAATCAAGGTCCCAGTTTCAACATAACAATATAAGCTCTATAATTTGACGTCAGCAGTTAATTAACTTGCTGCAGATGGAAATTTATGGTAATGCAGCTTAAAATGGTGAGCATATCTTATTACAAGGCTAATGCCTGTAAAGGAAAAGGGGATTCCTCACCCTTCTCTTCAGATAACAAAGAGGGGAAAAAATTACAGGAATTTCTGATATGATTTCGCTGAACTGGGAAAATGATCACCATATCAGCAGGAGATGATTTAAGAGTGCTCAAATCTTTTTTTGTAATATACAAGTGCGCAATTGAGAAGTAGGTAAAGGTAAAGGTTTGCCCTGACATTAAGTCATCTGACTCTGGGGGGTGGTGCTCATCTCCATTTCTAAGCTGAAGAGCCGGAGTTGTTCACTGACACCTCCAGGTCATGTGGCCGGCATGACTGCATGGAGCGCCATTACCTTCCCACAGAAGCAGTACCTATTGTATCGTACTCACATTTGTATATTTTTGAACTGCTAGGTTGGCAGAAGCTGGGAGGAACAGCGGGACTCACCCCACTCCATGGATTCGAACCGCCGATCTTTTGGTCAGCAAGTTCAACAGATCAGAGGTTTAACCTCCTGTGCCACCAGGGCCTCCAATAGAGAAGTACTCCTTGGAATGAAACATACTATGGAAGAATTCCCAAAATGAAGGGGTGCGTTTGTGTTTTCCTACCAAGGATAACAAAATAAAGATCAACCCACCCATAATGTGAGTCCACTTCTCCTATTTTGATATGCCAAAATGAACATAAGAAAGTTGTGATGCTTACTCCACTTTTTTGTCATTCAAATAATATAGTGTTATATTAGGAGAAGAACATGTATTTTCAGGAAATATTTTATAAATAGGAAGCCACATACTACAGCTTTTCTTATGTTGATTTTATATATTTCTTGGTTTATTCAGGAAGTTGTGAAGTTCTTATCCATTTAAAGAGTCAGCACCAGATTAGGATTCATGCTTTTTTTTCTCTAGATTACAGACTATGTGGAAGTATGGAAGTTTTAGCTCACCACTGAATCCTAAATATTTTACCTTTATCCAACATGGGTTATCCTTAGAATCAAGATAATGTCCAACTACTAGGGCATCCTGAGGTAAGATAAACTTATATATAATATTTAGTAGGTTTTCATATATTCAAAGTCCTTCAAATACTAGTAAGTAATCTGTAAATTAATCCATGAAAACTGTTCATTTTTCTCTGCAAATTATATTTTTAAACAAACAAACATAGTAATTAAATATCTGCAAATATGTAGAGAGTCTATAACTGCAAGTTAAAATGTTTGAATAGGTATATGAAATGTAAGTTCAAATTCCTAATCAGTCACAAAAGCTTGTTGTGAGCTAGGGTTCAGTGCATAAATAAATTATTTAGAACCGTTTCGGTAAATAAAGACACAATTTTTAAAATTGATTATTTTCCAAATCACTTAATGCATATATATATTAAATTCTAGTTGATTCAGATACATTTTTTCTATCACCTCTTTTCTCACCAAAGTCTACTGAAGGAAATGTCATACAAATATATAATAAAAGTCATAAAAAGCAAGACAATAAATGATCTGTTCAAAACATCTTAAGAGAGACCAAATTAAGGACACATTCCATGGAGTGGTCACCTTCACTGTATGTTGAATTTTGGAAAGCGAGAGATTGCTAGGTGTACTTCTTCCATCAAACTCACCACAACTAAGGCCTCTTTCCAGAACCCAGACAGAAAAGGAACAAATAAAAGGGAGCCTCCACAGAAAAGTACACTATTCTTGTGCAGGTTCAAACTATTTAAAACTTTACTTATCTAAACAATTACTCTGAATTAAGCTCAGAATTTGATAATCAGCACAATTAGAAAGGAAATTAGAGTAGTATGTTCAAATATTCTCACCTATCAGAGCTCTAGTGGCTGCAATCAGAATGAAATTAATCTTCTTCAAATTTTATATGAAGAAAATGTCACATTATATTAAATCAATCTGGAAATGACTAAAGGTGCATTTACACTGTACAATTAATGCAGTATGACACCACTTCAACTGCCATGACTCAATACTATGGAATCATGGGAGTTATAGTTTTACAAAGTATTTAGCCTTCTCTGCCAAAGAATGCTGGTGTCTCATCAAACTACAATAACCATGTTTCCATAGCACCGAGTCATGGCAGTTTAAATGGTGTCAATCTGCATTAATTCCAAAATGTAGATGAACCATAGGATTGGGCCTGGGCTTCCTAAGTAGAGCACACCTGGGATTCCCAGGTACAGCACAGTGCCTTCACTACTGTAAAACATACTTTACTACTAACAAAACAAAAGTGATAAATATTCCAGACACAAAACATTTGCATCTTCTCTAACAGATAGGTTACATACGCAAACAAAACATTCCATTCTTGTTCCTCATCATATAATTGCTACTTACAGGTAAAAGATTGCTAAAGGAAAAAACCACACATATCCTAACAAGTATTTAACATAACAATGACAGCCATTCACAATAGTTTGCATTCACAGAACACAGAGCTGCATACCACCAACCCATTAAATATTTCTAATTACTGGGGTCATGCTTCTGCTAAATGGAGGAAATTCCACATATCCAACCTCATCTCAAGGAGCAACAAACTTTATATGCAGTTAAAATTATACATATAGACATAATCATACTCTCTTCATTGAGCTCTGAAGCCATAAATCAATCCCATGGAAATATTGCAGAAAAGCATTAATATCACTTTTCTATTGAGCCTGTTTCTCCAAGACAAGAAAAAAGAAAATACTAGTGATACCACTTTATAGTTTAGCAAGAAATACATAGGATGAACTGTAAGGCCACATCTCTAAAAATTACAAGCAGCAACTTTAACATAATATGTTAATAAGTTAAACTCAATGTTAACACCACCAAATATAGACGAATTGAAATCAATGCAGCTTTGGTTTACCTAGAATTCCCATTCATTTATGTGGGTCTACTCTAAATAGAAATAGTCTTGGACTTAATTTTTTCCAAAATGTTGTGAACTGGAAAGTTTTCTTCTTGTAAAAACAAACTGGAAAGTTTTCTTCTTGTGAACCCTTACGAGACAACTAAAGCTCAGGAAATTCTGTGTTAGGCCCACAATAAATACAAAGAACTAATGGATCACTGAATTTCACTGGGAACATAGGATTGCTTTCTTAATGGTGCTATGAAGAGAACATGCACAGTTGAATGCAGGCAACACACACACACTGAAATATGAAGAAATAAAATAAGTTAATATTAACCTTTTATTATGAACTTTCGCTGAAAAAAGTTGTGGTTGAACAATGAAAATAGTAGTCAATATTCTAAGGAACAAAGGCAGCCATTCTATTTGACATCTTTACCTGATACAGTTACAGCAGATCCTGGGTCAATAATTCCACTGTTTGGCCTCACACAGTATCGACGAGGTGCTGTGGTCTTCACTTTAAAACATACTTTTCTGTCTGATGGGTTTCGAAGTTTAAGATTTGTAGTGACTACATCTGTGAAGGGACCTGAAAGTGTTCAAGATTTATTTTTAGGAATCAGTTTATTTTGGGGATGTTGTCTTCAGAAACAGACTTAAAAAGCAAAATAGAATTTGGCAATAAAACATAAATATGCTATTTATGACCAGCATCTTTCTTTCACCAACCTCTACTTCAATATCCTCCACCATAAAAAAAGCCTACTGTCAGATTCCTGCCACAGTAAATGCTTGTTTTGGTACTTTGGTGTCTGGTCCCAGCTGTAATTCACACAACATACTGCAACCCCCACCCCCATATGAAAAGGTTTTTCAAAAGAAACAAAGAACCAAATAAAAGATTTGATTGTTTGAGCAGTTCCCAGAGACATACACTATTGCATATTACTCCATGTAAAAAGCTAAAAACACTGAAAATGTTATTTTACAAATGAAACGCTATTGTTTCACACTTCTACTCTGCCTACCTTCTGCTCCTGATCAGTTTTGCTATCACAGAAAAGACATAGCATCAAAAATCTGAAAAGGCTGGAAACTAACTGTAACATCAGCACTCATTACATCCATTTTCTACTCTAATTGCAGGCCACCTGCATGTTTGTTAATATAGAATTAACTCTTTTAATTATACAAATAAGCCATTCATTTATACATTTATGTCCATAATCAGGTGGGTATCGCACTAACTTTCCAATTTGATAAACTACAGCTGAAATGTATGCATATTAGGAGACAATATGTATGCATAGGAGACAATAACAGTATGCATAGGAGAAACAATAGTCAGATGCAACCACGCAGCTGAAACAGAAATCTAGGTAGGCGTACCAAGGGACAAAGAAAGAGTGCGCCACTTGTAATAATGGGCAAAAGGAGGCACAATAAACCTTCTTTTGAAGATCTTCTATCAAGAAAGACGCTATGATGAGACCATTCAAAATGAAACAACCTATAGTGCCAGAGGATGTAACTCCCAGATCGGAAAGAATTTAATGATCTCATGCACAAGAGTACTTATAGAACTGTGCTTAATGATGCAACTAGGCTCAAGTCAAAAGCATGTTCAGCTTTTGATGTACTCTGATTGAAAGGAAAGTCCAGTGCTGCACAATATATGTTATAGAAACGTGAAATATGAGAAGTATGAATCAGGGGAAATTAAGACATTGTAAAAAAGGAACACACTGTATAAACATTGAATTATTTGGTTAGTTAAAGTGGACAAGAATGGTAACATTTTGAGGGATAATTATACATGATTTGATTCAGGGAATAACAATATAAGAAGAAATGGAGTGGCATTAATAGTGAGGAGAGATGTAGCATAAGCAGTCAGAAGTTGTAACACAATGCCTGACAAAGTAATATCAATAAGACATCATGTGAAACCCATTATTTTAATCATAATCCAAGTGTATGCTCCAAGTACATAGGCAGAAGAAGAAACTGAAAGATTATATGCTGGAATCCAGGAGGAAAATTCTTATTAAACATAAGTTATTCGAATGCAATCATAGGAAAGAGAGTAGAATCAAAAATTGTAGAAAAAAGTAGGCTAGGATAAAGAAATGAAAAAGGAGGACGATGGACTGAATTTTGCAGTCAACAGCTTGCTCATAACCAGCACATTCTTCAAGCAAGAAACATGGCAACTATTCACAGACATCATGGCAGGAAATTGGATTGGATGGTGCTTGTGCTGTCTTCCAACTTTATAATTCTATGATTATATCACTTGATGCCTAACAAAAAATTCAGGCAACCTAACTATAAGCAGAAGATGAGGACACTCTACTCTCTCTGCAAAAACAAAGCAAGAGCAGTTTGTGGCAGATACCAAAAACTTTTGATTTAAAAAAATCAAGGTAAAGCAAAAGAAGATTAGTAAATCAATCATACTGCCAAATATAAGATGAATAACATCCCTTTATAATTTAAAGAAAATGTAAAATAGATTGGCACAAGTAAGCTAACTGACTGGGAAGATACAGCATTGCACCTCTATTTAAAACACAAGTAAGAGATATTCTCTGCATCCCCAAAAGTAACAGGCAAGAATCAGCATTAACAATATGGTTCAAGAGTAGAGCTGTCAGCCCTCCATATCCATGGGTTCTTCATCTATGGATTCAAACAATGGATTTTCAGAAATATGCAAAAAAAAAAAGCAAACTGTGATTTTGCTATATATAAGGGATGCCACCTTACTATGCCATTATATATGGATTTTGCTATCTCTAAGGAATCCTGGAATCAAACCCCAGGTGACACTTGGGGAACTATAATAAATTTCTATTTTGCTATCCTGCCAGAACACAGCAATTAATACAAATAAAGAAAACAAATAAAAAACAAATCTGGTTTTAAACAGAACTTGAATCCAGGGCCCTTCCACACAGCCCTATATCCCAGAATATCAAGGCAGAAAATCCCACATTATCTGAGTGTGGACTCTGATAACCCAGTTCAAAGCAGATATTGAGGGATTTTCTGTCTTGATATTCTGGGATAGGGGGTTGTGTGGAAGGGCCCCCAATCTTTTGCTGGAACGTGTACAAAAAGAAAGAGTATAGTTGGTATAAAAGAAAGAAAGCAAACCAAAAAAATTAACAAATCTAAAAATAACCAGTATGGAATAAAGCAAATATATGAAATAGAAAGATCAAAAGTGCCATGGAAAATAAATATATTTGGCAACATAAAACCAATCTAATCTCCAAAAACTGGAAGTTTCACATACTGTCATCACAATGAAAGAGAGTGATACAGATGTCCAAGCCTACCATATGTCAAAAACCAACAAAATTCCAAAGACAGTAATTGTTTAGGTTCCTGGATGAAGCAGATTATCTAGATCCAGTTCTAGGCCTGATTATGGGACAGAGACGGCTTTGATTGTCTTGGTGGATGACCTATGAAGAGAATGGGACAGGGGGAATGTGTCCCTGGTGGTTCTCCTGGATCTTTTAGCAGTTTTTGATACCATCAACTATGGTATCCTTCTATTGGTATTGTTCCAGAGGTATTGTTCTTCAGTGATTCCGTTCCTTGCTGGAGAAATTGTCTCAGAAGGTGGTGTTAGGACAGTTCTGTTTGGCTCCTTGGACACCTGCAGGGTGCCTTAGAGCTCCATGTTGTTCCCCATGCAGTTCAAATTGTTGTTGTTGTTATTATTTATTTATATCCTGCTTTTTCTCTCTACATGGACACTTAAAGCAGCTATACATGAAACTGCTAGGAGAAGTCATCCGGAGTTTTGGAGTGTGGTGTCATTGATATGCAGATTACATCCAACTCTTCCAAAGAAGTGGATCCAGTACTAAACTACTGCCTGGCAGCTGGACTGGGTAAGGGCAAACAAACAGAAGCTTAATCCAGACAAGACAGAGCTGTCCTTGGTTAGTCAAAAGACAGATCTGGGAACAGAGATTCAGCCTGTATTCAGAGTGAATAATAATGCTACACTCCCTCTGAAAACACAGGTTCACAGTTTGAGCTTACTCCTGGATTCAGTTCTGAATCTGGAGGCCCAGGTATCAACAATGACCAAGAGTGCTTTTGCACAGCTAAAACTAATGCCTGTTCCTGGAGAAGTCGGATCTGGCCATAGTGGTACATGCCTTGTTTACATCCTGGTTGCATTACTGTAATGCACTGTATGTGAGGTTACCATTGAAAAGTGCTCAAAGCTTCAGTTGGTTCAAATAGAAGCAGCCAGGGGGCACACAACTCTGCTGCTGCAACAGGTCCACCAGCTGCCAAAATGTTTCCAAGTACAATTCAAAGTGCTGGTTTTGACCTACGTGGCCTTTAGGACTCCTGTCTAGGAAGGACTGTATCTCTTTCTATGAACTTGTCATACATTTATGATGAACTGGGGAGGGCCTTTTCTGTGGCTGCTCCCTGACTGTGGAACGCTTTCCCAAGAAAGACCAGAAGGGACACATTCCCATACATTTTAATTATATTTATTATATTTAAGTGTACTTTAACCTAACACACAGAAGTACTATTTAATTGGTTTTTAAAATTTTGTATTTGCTTTGTTTTAAATTGATATTTATTTATCGTGTCATCAGCAACCAGACATTTGTATTACATTTTTAACATTTTACATTTATCAAAGTGTGTGATTGTTAGCTGCCTTGTGTCCCCTTGGGGAGAAAAGTGGGGTATGACGTAAATAAATAATAAATACTAATGCTTTTTTCTTCAATGTCAAAATATTAAGAACTTAGGAAAATTGTTTGGGCATACTGGACCTAATTCCATACTATACTATTGTGTTGTCCAAAATAAGCAACTGCAAGCCTTGTTTTCTTGTTCCAAACCAAACATCAAAAAGAGCCCAGAACTTCTGTCTTCATTTTAAAGCAATTGCATTTTGACATGTTTTCCAAATGCAAAACATGGGCCAGCTTTGTCACTGGTTTGTTTCAACTTATATAATTATAAATGAATAATAAATGAATAATAGCAACAGATTTTCCCAGGCTCAGGCAGGCCTCCAAATGCTAATGAAGGTGATCAGCTAAACATTCACACCTAACTGCAGCAGGGAAGAGCTCCTTGCCCCACCCCAGCCATTCCACAGATATATAAACCCATTGTCCTAATTCCAACAGATCTCACTACCTCTGAGGATGCTTGCCATAGATGCAGGCGAAACGTCAGGAGAAATGCCTCTAGAACATGGCTCTATAGCCCAAAAAAACCCACAAGAACCTAATAAATTAAGAGTTTTCCATGTTTAGTGTTCATGTATGATTTTTGGTTTACAGATGTCAAGGGCTTCCTCAACCACATTAATCAATTCCCAATAGCACAGCGTAACAGCCCAGTGTGGACTGCAGGATTTTCTCCCTTTTGGTGTTGCATGTATCCTCAAGATAACCAGTTCTTCCATAGACAAGCATTCTGTTCCTAGCTTTGTGCTATACTATCTAACCATGAATGTTATCATCGGGTATGAGGGCAATTAATATATTCCTCGGGGTTTGGCATTTGCTCTGTTAATAGAGCATAAAT